GTCATGGTGTGGTGTGGCGTGATATGGAGAGGTGTGTTATGTCATAGTAGCGTGTGTTATATTCTATGGTTATAATATTGCCAAAACTGATTTACCTGACTTCTCTTCTTTTTCTTGGAGTACATTATTTTGTCAAAGAGTTTACGGTCTTTCCTTGGCATGGCAGCAATTGCCARTTGTTTTTCTTCTCTTGTTAACTCCTCTTCGTCATTAGCTTCTTTCTCTATAAACCCAAAGAGCAGACAGACAGACAACCTGGATAAGCACACCTCAAAAGGCAACAGACAACACTCCCATTTCTGGTTCGCCTTTGCTCAGTCTTTTCTTAGATTGTGTACAAACATGTCCTTTTCTTTCATTAAGGCCCGTTGTATAGTGAGGAATGTAAGTAATATGATTAAAATGGTTGAATAGCTGAATATTTTAATGCACAACCAAGACTAAGGCTAAGCAAAGAGAACTCGAAACTGGGGTCAGCAGCCATGTTGGAGGGAAAAACGATAGCACTGGGGGGGGAGGGGGGAATAATAGTGTCAGTCATCCTGACAAATTTTGTGATATCTTGAAACGCACTTTGGACTTCCAGTAAACAACCACAAACAAGGTAAAAGACAAACAGAACTACCAGACATCACGTTAATAACAAACCCCCCCCCCCCCCCCCCGTCATTCCACTCCAAAACCCACCTTCTTCCTCTTCCTTGTTTTCCTGGTCAAGCATGGCTTGTCTTTCAGGGGGGATATAGTCTCCTTCCTGTTCTTGTACGAATGGAGACAGATGGGGAGGTAGGGACACCCCAGGGAAATAGTCTTCCACTGGAAGAAGCTTTCTACTATTGATGCTGTCTGCTATCCACTGAGGTTGCACGTAGTACCTAGGAAAAGCAATCATACATTAATAATCATTAATAACTTTAATAAACATCGATGAAGTGTCTATTTTTTTCTATAATAAAAAGTGATATCTTCACATGACACTCCTGGGTACCTGGATAGAAAACAATGTCCCTGAGTTGGTCTGTCGACAATTTGATGTGTAATAGAGTCGTCTGTCTCTGAGTATGTTGAACCAATRGCAACAGTGCTGTCCCATGATACATCACCACTAAAACACCTACCAAAACACAACAACTCGAGATGTAATTATAGCTTGGGTAAAAACATTTTGTATTCAAGGTAGAACAGAAAATACAGAAGGTATATTTCATGGTTCTACCCATTGCACAATTGCACAATTTATTAAAATTGAGGTTAAAGCATAAGTGAACTGGAATATTCAGGGTTTTTTCATGTTCAATTTTGCCACACATTCTTTTTTTTCCCTATTTTTTCACTATTACATTTTGACTCCAAATATTCACTTTTTTTTCTGTTCAATTTTGGCCCGCACTATTCGTTTTTTTTCTTTTGTTTTTGACCTGGAGCATTCGAAGTTTTTTCCCCTGTTCAATGCCCACATAAAGCRGGTAACAAAAGATCCCTGTATTCAAGTTTAAGTACCAAAAGTTCATTACCTTATCATGAATACCAAGACTTCTCTGGGGACTTCCCTTGATAAGAAAAACTTGCATTCTTTAAAAAGATGTTTTAATCTTTCYAGTGATTCTTCTTCAGCTTTAGACTCCTTGATGGCTTCAGCATCCTCACTCTAAATATACGTAATGAACCATCCTGCTTATTTTATATCCATTTYTAWWAAYACTTGAYCCAGAMAGCCACAMCAGCTATARTAGAGWGGGGACTCTGGTGTAAAGGTATTRRRTATACCTCTYGAAAATGTTTAAAATACCCCTRAAAGATMCCTAAATKCCCTTTAGAATGGGCGTGKTYGGACGATTTTTTTACCTCTAAAAGTTACCCTAAAAAGATACCAAGAAATGCCGAAATTCTAAACTTCAGTGTTAACATCCCAAAAGATACCAAATCACTGTACAATGAGCATACCCAATACTTTTACACTGAAGTCAACAAAAATTATCACTTACATCGGAATCTACAGGAAATTCATCAACTTCAGGGACTTCCTCTACGGCTGCAAAAGGAAGCATTACAACTGATCAAACAAACATGTGAAGAGAAAGATTTCATTTAAATACACCAATTCCAAATTCAGACCATGTGCTATTCYTTTGAGAATAAGCTGTATATACATGTGTCTTCTCATGCACATCTATTAAAAAAAGAAGTGATACTCTAGAGAATGACATGTGGTCTGAAATGGGAAAACATTACACCCAAGCTAGAGGTCCATAAATCTAAATCTTTTTCTGTCTTTTCTCTTACTTTGAATTGACTGCAGGCTGTGATTCAGTGCTGCTAACACCTGGGACAATAATAATAACAACTTTTAAATAAGATTAATACTTATACCGCACATATATTTTATTATGCATATGCTCACTCAATTCATAGTACCAATTCAAGATGTAGGCTAAAGTAACACGTAAGTCTTGAAAAGGCTGGGAGCTGTTTTCCAATAGATCAAGACATTACATTTGTGTAAATGTCTGGCCTAAATACAAATTATGCATGCTCATYAGGGAATTTACATGCCAAGTCTTAGAGCACTTTTCATTTGGGTAGGAAACATACRCACCTCATCTTTGGTTTCTGATTCTGCACAGTATGTGTTATCTGAGTTTGTATTTCCTGATTCTACCAACTAAAATAAAATGAAATGAGGAGTTTATGTAATGCTTTGTATAATAACCTTCTCAACACCATCCTTCATCAACATCATCAATGTTCATCATCATTACACTTATTACAGTCAAACTAAGAAAAACAGTGCACACCTAAAATATGTCTGGAAACTTTAACATTGTGTTCTGACCAATGGCACAGGTGTTTAACCAACACAATGTTGGTGCAGTTCACGGTTTTCTTAGTTTGACTGTAATGTCAATATCCATCATGGCCAATTATCAGCATACATGCAAATTGACATTATCATTGATCATAATAATCATCATCATCATCATCATCATCATCACCCTTACTTATATCAACACTACCATCATTCATTATCATCAACAAAATTTAAGTACTCATTATCAGCACAAGTCATAATCATCATCATCCTCAACCAACAAGAATGACATCTATCCAAGGGCRGATCCAGCCAAAATTTTAGGGGGGGGGGGCTAATTGAGTTTCTTCTGTCGACGCAACAGAAAACAATAAAAAAAAAGCATCTAATTCTTTATTTATTTTATTTTATTTTTTCTGCTTAGGGGGGGCTTCAGCCCCCCTTTGCCCCCCCTGGATCCACCCTTGCTATCATCACTGTCACCAGCATTGAGACCATCATTATCATTACAAACAACGTTGTCACAGTCGTCATTACTATTATAATATGGAAATCAATGCTTGTTTGATATGCAATATGTTTCTTACCTTTGGTGGGTAAAACATGTTCTGTTCATGGTACAGCTTAAARTTTATGAATCCCACCATTGTCTTGTAAAAATCTACAAATGTCAACATGACTCTGAAGTCTACATCTGTTGGAGTCTGAAGARTAACAAGCTCCAGTTTAGATAACTTTTTTCCACTTGGAGGACAGGAAGTTACCCAAATCAATGCCCTTTACCCCCAGTTGCTGGAGAGGTGGTAACCCAAATAGAACATTTTTCGAGTTCCAAATTACTACTGTGTTTCTTGATTACAGTCTCATTTACAAGCGTCAGCCTTGATTTTGTGCAGAATATTCATGTATTCCACTCAAGGGCCATCAAGTTTCAAATTGTTTGTATAGTTGAAGTTGTGCATTCTTTAGAGTGCACGCACTAAAACCATGAACATTAATTAGTACTAATTAGTACTATTTCATACTGAATCCTTTGTTTTCTATTGTTTAATTATCACTATTTAGTGCTAAAAATTAGTATTTGTTTCACGGATTTAGTGTGAGCACTCTACTTTAAAGACACATTGCATTTGGTCTATTGATGCACCTCAGACCAACCTTTCTACCCTGTCAACCTTAGTAGCAAGAGAATTGACTCAAATAAATGCATCATACTATANGCACCTCAGACCAACCTTTCTACCCTGTCAACCTTAGTAGCAAGAGAATTGACTCAAATAAATGCATCATACTATATGACACATTTTAGAACTTGAATTTGGTCTATTGAAGCACCTCAGACCAACCTTCCTACCCTGTCAACCTTAGTAGCATGAGAGTTGTCCACTCAAATAAATGCATCATACTATATGACACATTTATAACCACACTGTATGACGCATTTATTACTACACATACTTAGAAACAGCAGAGATATTCCAGGGCTTTCTTCAGARTAAGCCAGTTACCCAATCCTTGTATTAGCAGGAGGGGTACCCSACCAAATGAATGCACCCCACATCACCCTTCCTACCTATTACCCTTAGTGGCATGATGGGTTATCACCCAAATGGAAGTACAGCACTACCTTTTGCACACCAGACTCTCAGAGGTGGGACGCCATATTATTTTTATATGAGTTGCAGGAGAAAATGCAATGTAAGTGTTGTTTTGCATTGTTCCATCATACACTACCTCTTGGCAAAAATTATACGGTGATATCCATGTTACTTGTTGTCCATGAATATCGGCCTGGAAATAGATGCCCTTTATGGAGAAGAACACCTGATATACAAAAGAATGGGAATTAATTACTACATAACAATCACACAACAGTTAATTAACAAATAAAACAGCTTTTTTCTTGCTCGGTTCAGTAATAAAGCACACAGAAAGTGACACAAGCACGAAAGAAGTGTAAGGAGAATTTTTTAACTTTACCTTTCTCAATGACTTTGAYGCCATAATGTAATGCTGGAACTCAACTACAGTAAACAAGAAAAATAAAGTTTCATCATCATTTCATTAATATTTGTGGACAAGCTCACTCCTAAATAATTTAGACTCATTTCCAGGAACCACAGAGAATGCAGGGACTGACCCTTCTCACTCTCCATAATCCCTTTTTGCAGCATCATAATAATAATGTAAATATTATATGAGAATTAAGTGGAAAGCTTACCAGCTAGACGTCGACATTCTCTTACAATTTCAGCCTGGAAGAAAGAGACCTTCATTATAGGAAAGTCTTTTCATTTTTATGCCAATAAAGAACCTAGCTATGGCATGACATGCAATTCATACAAAAAAATAACAAGCAAAACAAATCAAACAAAAGGGATGTGTAGAAGTATTTGACTRAAAGACTTACTTTTATTTTGTCAGTTTGAGGCATAATTGAAAACAGGAATAGCATTGATAAAGCATCGTCTAAATCCCTGACTGCATCTATAAATGTTGGATACCTGGAAAAAAGTATGAAAAATGAATGAAAATTTCAAAAGGAAGGAAAATTATTAGTTCATATTTATGGTTCCAACCCTCTTAGTTACTGTTGCTAGTACCCACAAAATGAAATATAATGCAGTAATAATGAATGATATCAGCAGCCACAGCCCGCTATAATAATCATACTGCCCATTTTTGGTTTTTTCRGAGCATTCATGTGCACTTACGGTACCATCTGGAAGATTTAAAGCCACCCCCTCCCCCTACCCCCAAAAGCTCCATCTATCTTCTGGTTTTGTTGCTATGAATCAGATTTCAATTACCTTTCTCTGACAATATGATCCAAAGTGTARACTGGCTTATTCTCTTCAAGCCTTTCAGCAGTGCCAGGTTCTTCCTTGCCAATAGCTTTCTTTAGCTTCCTTAAGAAGACTTTAAACTCTCTAAACTTGTTCAAGATAGGCTCATGCGCAATCCACTGGATGTCTTTGTAATAATAGTAGGTTTTGAACGCTGTACTGCCTTTGTTGACCTTCTTTTTGTTTTTGGGTTCTACTGGATATATTCCCTTCAGAATACATAGCCTCCTGGACGTTGTCAGATAAKAAACAATCATTAGATGGGATGGGGCATGATATTTAATGATTATTCACTAAAGTCCAAGTGATTATCAGTGAATATTTAACAAGTCATRAGTCTTTGAGCAGCGAGGTAAATATTCCCCATAATCACTGATCCTGAGTTGAACTAGTTGTTGCATATTGCAAGTAAAGTGCTGCGAGTAGGCATAAAGGGTATTTTATGGTTGTCATTTATTGTTTATTTATTGCCTGCCTCTATATTTGATTTATTTCTCATAGCGTAGCTGACCACATTGATACTGAAAACAAGTTTAGSTGTCTCTAACAAGTACATATATAAGAAAACAAATAAAAAGTTGATATATATTTTTCATAAATATATAAACTTACAAATGGATGGCTTAGCAATAGCGGGAAGGTAAACAGCTATATGCAAGTCATAAGTCTGTCCACAATGCTTTCCCCTTAAAATGCATGTCCCTAAATCGTTTGTGAGATAAATAATATGTGACCTAGGAGCACTAGGAAAGACTATTTGCCTCTGAAATTAAAGTCGTGAGGGGCCCAAGAAGTTATGTGAAAGAGATCATGAGCGACCAAACACCACCATGAGGCAGGCAGGTGAAAAAAGTACTTGCCCCAAAATTGTAATCAAGGGTTCTAAATGGAAAAACTTTCAAAATCGAGATTTTTGTTGGCTTACGGCTTGCAGCAATAATTGTTTTAGTATAATTTTAAATTTGAATATCAAAGAAATGCTGACATCTTTTTTTTTTTTTAATATTATTATTTTTGCTCTGGCAAACTTTGGAAAACTTCATAATCATCTCTCAAGCAGTKAATATTGTCTTATAATCACTGGTTGTTTGACTGATCAGAGTTCGGAAACTCTATAATGCAAGTCTAATAAAATTATACTAATGTAAATTATCATGACAGGAACAACTGATTTTTCCCAGTGTAACCTCACATTCAATAGTCCACTTCCGAGATATGCTTTGCTTGTCACAACCAAAATTTTTAGTATGAGGCTATGTGTCAAATTAAATCTATTCTTTTATTCCTTTCACAAATCATTGAGCATTATGCATGAAGATTTTTTGGTGTTTTTTTCGAATGAGCTATTGAAATATAGAGAGTCCCGTGCAAAATTTTAGGGTTTTGCCTTGTTGAAGCTCAAAACGCATATGGTTCTTCAATAAAATCTTCTAGATTTTTCAGCGGTTTTTGAGCGCGCGCACATCCTGGGCTCAAATCGAAGGTTCAAAAGTAGGCAGCCACCTTAAATAAAGATTGCTATTCTGAATGGAATAAGAATCAGATTTACATAGGAGGTTTATAGATAACACACAAAAAACACAGGCACCCCAAGCAATCACTATTGAGAGAACACTTCTCAAGTTGAACGAGTGTAACTAAAAAAGCTATCAACACAAATAAATGACATATGTATAAAGTTGACATCAGAATATCCCAAAAATTCCATTCTTAAGAACGTTTAAATGCTTTTTTTAAGAACCCCTTTAAGTCTTTATAGCAAATATTGCGACATATTTTTAATACAACCGGGATTTTTATATCAAAATAAACGCAAAGTTACAGCTCTACATAAGAATATATTAGAACATATGCAGTTTCTTAACTGGAATAAATTTACTAAGATTATACAGCACACTTAACATTAATTTTCACAATAGTTTACTCTTTTTACCTGAAGTCAGGCAAGCTMAGCTGTAATTTCTTCAACGCTTGATTTCTTGATACAAAATGCGTTGCCGCCCCGCTTTCCCCCTAAATTAAGAGCACAATACATTAATGTCTGTTAGTCAGGCCTCCAGTTATGTCTTTAATTTGTTTCTTAGTTACAAACCTTCTTTTTTTCTTTCCCCATCGCGAAAAGACTTCAACAAGAAAAACACGTGAAGAAATAATAACACGAGGCTTTGATTCTGAAACAGCAATATTTATGTACAGCAGCTAACACAGGGTACCCAATCAGTATTTTTGTTTTCAAAATCTTACACTTTGATGCTTGTTGGATTAGCTAGCTGAATTTTTTTAGGCTTTACTTGAAAAAAAAAAACTAATAATTCAGGGATACTTAGTCTAGTGCCAGGCTCAGTATGTATTCGCTCTGAAATAGCTCTGAAAAGCAAAGCCATTTGCGCGCGGGAAAAAGAAAATTCCAGCTTGTTGTGTATCCATTAAACAAAAGGTGTCCAGGACTGTAACGAACTGTATTTTGAGTTTTTCACAGTTGTACAGAATCTAATACTCTTTTTTCGTACTAGAAGTGGTAGGAATTGAGAAAAATGACTTCAAATGAGTTTTGAAGTGAAGCATTTGATCGGTTACTGAGCACTCGTTCACACCCTCCCAAAGGATGGATGACCCTTTCAATGGAGAAGAGGCTCAACTCGTGGTCTCACGCTGAGTTCACATCCAGTGAAAGGACCTTTGAACCATCTTATCAACTGTTGAACCATATTCTTCCATTAGGTTTCTCCTGAACTATTTTATTTTGCATTTTAGTCTGCTTTGACCAAAACATATAAAATTTGGATTCAGAAGAAAGAAAGTTTGATGTTTATRAAATATTTCCTTTTCAGTTCTCTATCTAGTTAAAAAGGAACGAAGGAAATCAGTTGGTTTATTAGGAGTTCATTAGTTACTTCAAATCAACTTTATGTGAACTTCATGCTAGCAAAATAATTAACATATCCTTGATTTGGTAAAGGGTAAAGAGGTAGGTCCAAAGATGGAAAGTTACAATCTGGTTTCTAAAATGAATCATAATAATGGGCTTCCTGTGGTATCTTAAACCTTCGTCKGACAGGCAGTCTATACTTTTAAAATACATTATATCATAAATTTTTTGAACCCACACACAAAAATCACTAAAAATCTATTTTCCCTTGAATAGCATTAATCGATTCGGGGTTACGGTACGGAATCTCTATTCGTTTGGAATAAAGTGTTACCCTTTGTTGTATCTATGGTAACTGTACGCCGCTCTATTTTCTGTTTTAGCTTGTTACCTGACAGGAACRCAAGCGAGGAGTTTTCGAACGTCTTTTTCGATTCCTTTTTTGATTAGRAAGAAAAGAAATGAGAAAATAAGTGGAATAAGTTCACAGATTCTTAACCAGCCAGTAYCCGTTAAAGTATTTTCCTTATGAAAGCCATAATTTAAAATAATTTTTAAAAATATTTGCGTCCAAGTAATTTTTCTAGTAATGTTAAACTTTTCACTATGATTTCAAGTCGAAAGACTAAAAAAAAAWTTTTTCCTTGTTCCGACACTCCACCTAGGAAAAGTCCGATCCAATGAGGGAATCCAGATTCTGATTTTCCACAATTTTGGATTTTGAGGCAAAAAGTAACAAATTCTAAAAGAGCGAGAGAAATGGAGATAAATGGTGTAATTTGTTTTGTTTTGGTCGTAAAGGAAATGGATTTACAGGTATCAAAAACGTGTAGCCTCAAGCCACTTGTACGCCTTATAACCAACACACCCACCTCCCCAAGGTACTAAGGTACTACAATTAGCCCTTACTAGCATTGCTGTGCARATTGAAAAGGTGTCGTTTATCCGCAAAGCCAGACCAAACATGCTAAAGTCCAATGCGATCTCTGTTTTAGCCGCGCACTGTTACTTTTATTCGCAGGAGTATCGATAAAATGCTAGGTATAATCCAAACACAGATTCTTTATGTGGTATATGAGTCAATCGTAATAATGTTA